GGGGGGGGGGCTGTCACTAGCTGTGTGACCTGGAAGGGTGTATCTCTCTCTCCCCAGCTCTGCCCTCTCTTTCTCTACTTCCTGGTCATCATGCAGTGAGCAGCTTTTCTCTGCCCAGGCCCTTCTGCCACGTGGTTTCTGTGTTTAAGCCTGAGAACATGGACTAACACTTCTGAATCATGAGCCAAAGTAAACCTGTGCTCCTTTAAGTTACAGGTGTCAGGTATGTTGTCCCAGTGCTGAGGAAAGTGACTAAAGCAGAGGGGAAGAAACAAGGAATCCTTCTACCAAACAACAAGCTGGACTCATTCTGACTTTTGTGGCAAGACAGATCTATTCAGGGACAAACCACTGTAGACACTGACATCTATTCTGAATTAAAGGAACTTGAAGCATTCCTCCTTGGAAAGAGTCAGTTGTCTATGGCCTTTAATTAACATCTAAATAGATAACATATCTTCTATAATTACAATACAGAAATCTCTATGAACAAAAATAGACAATTTTTTTTTGGCGAAGAATGCTGTAGGTGAAGTCATCCAGGGCTTTACGCAGCAGCATCTACACAGCCAGGGCAGGTCAGTGTTTGGGGACGGAGGTGAATATCCGTAGTCCGTGCATCCCTTTGATTTCTTCTTTTAGTGCCTGAGTAAGTAAAAGAGCGTCATCATTTTTTTGTGTATTTGACAATGATTACACAGTACAGTATACCTCAGTTCACAAATGCTTCTGTTTGTAAACAATTTGGTTCACAAACAAAAGAAGTCAGCAAAATTTTGCTTCTATTTACAAACTCATCAGGTGACAAACACGACTACGGCCATCGTCCCCACACAAACACAAAACACAGCCATCTTCCCCAAGATTATAAAACAAATTAAACTTGTAAACCGAGGTACCACTGTATTTTTATAAAGCTCTGTATCCAAAGGAGGCTTTTTACATGTTTTGTTTCAGCAATTTTTCCTCTATAAATTTTTGTTGGAATCAATATCTAAGCCAGAGATACATGCCTATATTCCCAGCACTGGGAGGCTGAAGCAGGAGGATCACTTGAGCTCAGGAGTTCAAAGCCAGCCTGGGCAAAACACAAAACAAACAAACTAAATCTAGCATGGCTTGAAAATTAGAAGGTATAAAAAAGTACATAGTGAAATCTCCCTCCTGCAGATGTCCTCTGTCTCTCAGTTTTGTTTCTTGTGGATTGTTGCAGGGGTTTAAAAATGCATATTCAAGCTAATATGAATATATATTCCACCCTACTCTCTTTTATAAACACAAATGGCTAGCATTCCAAACACATTTCTCCTACACTGCTTTTTCCCTAACCATCTATCTTGGCGATCTGTCCATATCTGGCATAAAGTGTGCCCTCAGTCTCTGCGTCAGCATCGGGTTCCCAAGACATGGATGTAGCATAACTTTCAACCTGCCCCTAATAACCTTTAAGGCCGTTTCCTACAATTTGCTATTTCAAGTAATGAGCAGCTATTCTTTAACACCCCAGCAATTACCATAAATTCCCCAATTTTACTTTAGGGCAGAAAATAAAGTCACACAGGAAACTGTAAGACTTGTTTAAGGATACATTGTCAGAACCCAAATCTAAACTAGCCATCAGCTGGGCAGGGTGGCGCCCACCTCTAATCCCAGCGCTTCCGAGGTGGAGGCAGGAGGATTGCTGAGTTGGAGGCCACCCTGGGTTACACAGTGAGTTCAAGCCCATCCTGAACTACACAGCAAGACCCTGTCTCAAAAACAAAACAAAACAAAACAAAACAAAAACAAGCAATCAGAGTCAAAGTGATACATAGCCCCCACAGTTTCGGGAGAGAGAAAGGATCTAGGAGTGGAGCAGGCTTGGAATGCTCAAGTTCAGCCAGTGCAGAGGACACAGAGCCCTTTTTCACCAGTCTGAAACCTGATCATCAAGGTGGCTATACATTTTGTTCTCAGTCTGTTCAGCAATCTCCCTTCTCTTGGGAAATAGTTTCTTTTCTACTTTAATTCCACCCTTCTGGTGTGATTACCACGGCAGCCGGGGCACATGACCCAAACTTGGCCAATGAGAATCTCCCCTGGAATTTTTCAGAGTGGAGCCTTGACTCTTGGGTCAGCAGGCTGGAATAACATCAACCAGAGGTAGCTGGGAGCCATGTTCTCTACCAAGCAGGGAAAACCCATCTTCACTAGAAGATGAGGCCAACACAGAGGGACAAGCTGAAAGAGGAGATAGAGAGAATGAGAGAGCAAGTAGGTAAATTTGTTTCAGACTCTGAATGTAGACATGCCAGAAACCAGGTGACTTCATTATACAGGCCAATTAATTCCCTTGGTTTGATTATGTTAGTTTTAACCTGGTCTCTATTATTTAAAACAAAAAGAATTCTAATACCTATATGTAGTCAGGTTTATAGAGTCAGAAGGATCTTTAGAGAAAAGCTAGTCTTATCCCCTTTATATTCTTCGATATCTATCTATCTATCTATCTATCTATCTATCTATCTATCTATCAATCATCAAGAGTCTACCACTGATACAAAGTCAGCAAGCAAGTAACAGGGTCAGGATATGATCCCAGGTGTCTTGATGTCCTGGCCACACCTGACTGGCCCTGCTGGCAGGAGCTTGGCCTGCACTACAACTCGCCATCTCACATTCACAGGGAAGTCACTGAACTCTGCAGACAGGCAAAAAATGTCCATGGGAAAAGCCTGAGAACATAGCTGAACAAAAGCGCACAGCCCCAGGACACTTGCTCTCTGCAGGCCTGGGCTGCTCCCTAGAGGCTGCCCTGAGCCTGTGCCTGAGCCACAGCCAGCCTCCCTCCTCACAGCTTCCTTCTAAGGGTGAGGCCCCGTCACACCTTCAGGAACCTTCTGGGCTTTGGCACCTCAGGCCTTGCCTACTCCCCCTTCCTAACACCTTCTCCCTGCCCTCCAAAGCCCCTGTGGACTGACTCCCCGAGCACGCCACGGCATCACATGTTACATGTCATTACTGTAGGTTACAGAAGGCCCTGGAGATCACTGGGGTCACTTCACAGGTGAGAAGGCTGAGGCCCTGCTGGGGGAAGTGACTGGACTGAAATGCTATGGGTAAGAAAACGTAGCTTGAATAAACATTTTGAGCACTGTGCCCATAGCATTAAGCTGGGTGCTGGGGACACAGATGAAAAGACAAGGATAAGTGACCAAGTACTGTAACCATACGAGAAGTAACATAAGGCCACAAAAGCAGACTTGAGGCCACAGTTGAGGCACGTCAGTCAGTGATTTGCTCAACCCTGCTGCAGATGTCCACAGGAGGAGTGTCCTTGCCACACTGGTGGGAGGGGTTGGGGAGGAGGCAGCCCTGGAGCTGCCAGCTGGAGTGGAATAGGCATGAGGGACAGGGTCACAGAGTCATGGCTGGGAGGCTCCTGTGAGGGAAGCATGGCCTCAAGTCAGGTGCACTGGGCAGACTGAGGCAGACCATGCTGAGGATGCCAAGTCCCAGGCTAGGAAGCTGGGCCAGACTCTGTGGGCAACAGGAGGTCACATTGAAAGGCTATGAGCAAGGGGAAGGCAAGGGTGGAAGTGCCTTAGAGGAGGGCGACTGGGCAGGACAACAGCTATTAACCTCATTCCTTCTGTGCAGAGCCAGTCACACTGTTGGGTGCCAGGAGGTGCCCCGGGCCAGAAGCGTCCTCAGCCTACCTCCCTGGAGCTTGGCCCTGAGCAAACGCTATTTCCAAAGGGACCTGGCAGAGGCTGAGGTCCATGTCATGTGTCAGCAGGTCCCCCAGGAATGACAATCCACTCCTGGAGGGGAGGCAAGCAAGAGCCAAGGGAGCAGGGCCACCCTGTCCCTGGGGAGTCAGCCGGGGAGGGGACTGCAGCAAGATTCAGGCCAGGTGACCTTTCCATGGCCTTTTGGGTGGAGAGTCTGATTCTTCTGTACCATTACTAAGCACCAGGCAAGGTTACAGAGGAAAGCTTCACCCCCAGGCCAGGCCCCCAGTCAGACGGTCAGGTCCACGTGTGTAGGACAGGGGGCCTTCCCCTCCCACCCTGCTCTGGCAGACAACACACACGGGAGCTGGAAGCAGGCCCTGGCCATTCGCAGGTCTGCCTCCTCTGGAGTGGATGCCTGTCAGAACCTTGACTCCCAACACTCACCCTGAGTAGGAAACTCCAGGTTCCAGCTCAGACCCCTCCAGGCCAACAGACCTGCTCTTAACAAGTTTTCGTTTTGGTTCCTCCCATGTAATTCTGTCAAAGCCCAACAGTCCTCAAACTGAAACATCCTGAAGTCCCCAAGACCACACCAGTGCATTTAAACACCTGAGGCAGCGTGCTCCCTACATGCTGTAGCTCTCAGGGTCACCGCAAAAGCTGTGAAGTTCGGGCTCAGGGACCTCCCTCCTTCCCGCCCACTTTTGTTTCCTGTGACAGGACAATGCTGCAGTGGGCATCAGCGTGGCCTCTGGAGTAGGCCAGGCTGAATTCTCACAAATGGACTGCCTTTCAGGTGCTAAAGATTTAATTCTCTGTAAGCCAATCAGAAAACACAGGCCAATTCTCCTTACTGTCTGCAAACTCTCAACAAATCCTGGCTGAGCTCCTTCCATTGGGTGGCTTGTTTTCAATTTTGAGTAAAATCCACATTTGCCTACAATCTCATTCCAGAGAGTCTCAGATTCGATCTTTCTGAGGTCTCAAGTCTTGCTCTCATGATGGTGGTACTGCATTATTCTTTCCTAGCACTGACAGTGAAAACCACCACACCCACTTGGCAAGCCTTTTAAGGCGCCAAAGGCCAGAGGCAAAGGACGGATGTTAATGCCACTGACCTGATTAACCATCTGGTGCTGCTGGACAGTTCTCTTCTCCTTAAATTCTTCTGATTCGATTTTAATTTCATACATCGCCCCACAGCCTCCTAAAATAAACAGGAGTCAAAAGTGCTTCAATTATTAAGTATGGCAGCCACAGCCCCGTGTGTCATTGAAGTACTGTACAATCCAAAGAAGGCCTGAATAGGCAGCCATGGTGGTGCATGCCTATAGTCCCAGCACTTGGGGAGCTGAGGCAAGAGGATTGCCGGGAGTTCGAGGCCAGCCTGGACTACATAGTGAGTTCAAGGCCACCCTGAACTTTATAGCGAGATCCTGTCTCAAAAAAAAAGAAGGCCTGAATACTATCATTCAGCATAAAGGAAAGCTACTAAGATGTGTAAATACAGACTATGGCTTCCCATCTGACCACACACCCTCCGGATGAGCTGTCTCCACCCAAATGTGCTCTTCCTTTTGTAAGGCCGCTGTGCTACACTAGCTTATCACCTGTGGACAGGAAAGCTAAGGCACAAAGCAAGGAAAATGTAGGGAATGTGGCCAACAAATACCATGAAAGAAGATGGGTGGGAAGGACTGAATTTCAGTGTTGTACCTTCCAAAGGACCTGAAATCAGTTTTTTGTTTTATTTTTTATTTTTTTGTGGTATCAGGGATCGAAGTCAGGACCTTGTGATTGCAAGGTGGCACAGTGCCACTGAGCTAAATCCCTGGCCCTGAAATCAGTATTTTTAAAAATACAAAAATATACTAACATCTGGTTTGAAAACTGTGTTTGTAAACTTATCCAAAAGAAAAGACAGAAACAAAGAAGCACAAGAGAGCCAGGGACCCAGCAAATCTCCTGGGCTGGGAGTTGCATGGGGCTGTGTCTGGCACCTGCTGGTTGGGATGGAGCTTAAGGTGAGCCCCTTGAGGTGGGCCCTTCCAGCCCGGCCCAACTGCAGAGCTACTGAGGATGACACCTATGCTGTGCTGGCACCAAACAGGGGCAGGGCTGCGCTGAAAGCACCAGGCTACCACATGAAAAGTGCAACCTATTCAACGGGCTTTATTTTGCTTTTTTTTTTTTTTTTTGAGACAGGGTGTCACTATGTAGTTGCAGTTGGACTGGAACTCACTATGCAACCCCATTGGCCTTCAACTCATGGTGATCCTCCTGCCTCAGCCTCCTGACTCCTGGGATTACACGTTGCACCCGTCTTAGTTACTTTTCTCTTGTTGCTGAGACTAAATACCTGACACCCAAAGTTAAAAGAGGAAAGGTTTATTTATCTCACAGTTTGCACAGGTTTTAGTCCATAATGGGCTGGCTCCAAGGCAAGGTGGCACATGGCAGAGGGGCAACAGTTCATGGCAGCAGAAGACAGCAAAAGTAAGGGACCTTGACAGCATCTTTCTGCCCTTTTATCTTATCCAGACTACTTAGGGGGAGTAGCACTCACATCCTTAATCCTAGTGCCCTTCATCCTAGCACTGCACCATGAATCAGTTCCAGCATCACACACTGTAGATCCAGCCACCTTTGAAAAGTCTTACCCATGACTGGGTGAGGCTTTGGGGGGACATCTAGACACAAGCCATAACAACCCCCATGCCCAGCTCATTTTGCTTCCCTTACAGTGTGCTCTAGGAGTCCACATTTTGGTTGCCCACAGCTTCCTGACCTCCATGACTGAAGATAGAGAAGTGAAACCCACTCAAACTCAATTTCTTCTACTATACACTTACAACACAGACACTTTGTGACCTCACATGGTGGGGGATCTCTCCACACCAGCAAGCAAGCAGTCCTGCAGCAGTGGATGTCCAGGTGTCCGCTAACCCAATTCAGTTCTGACACTATCTACCTGGATACAGGTGCCAGGCACAAACCCTGGGTTGTTTTACTTGTACTTCTGACCAGCCACTGTCAATCGGGGTTCCAAAGCCCCCTCCTTGATTTTGACTGATTTGCTTCAGCAGCTTGTACATTGTGGGTAAACACATTGCTTTATGGTAAAGGACCTCACAAAGGATGTAAGTGAAGAAATGCACAGGGTAAGGTTCAGTAAGGGGTGCAGAGCTCCCCTGGCCTCCGTAGGCTGCCACCCCAGAACCTCCCTGTGCTCACTATGCAGAAGCTCCCCAAAGCTTGTCCTTTTGGGTTTTTATGGGAACCAGGGAAACTCAGCCAGACCTGTCTGTTCAGATTCTTCATGACGTCTCTGTGCGCCATTCTTTCCTTGATGGCCTGGAGACAAGGCCCAGCATGGGGCTCCCAAGGTTGTCAGCCTGGCTCTGCTCAGACAAGGACCTTCTGAAATAGGGATCTTACTGTCAGAGAATCTCTTCATGGCCAGCCTCAAAACAGAAAGAGGTGGGAAGATCAGAGTTTCTAGGACCCACCCACCTTAGGGAAGAAAAATTCTTTCTCTGGCGTGCCTCAGGGAGGGAGTTACAGGCCAGGAACTGTGGTGGTACATGCCTGTAATCCCAGTGCTTTAGGAAGCTAATGCAGGAGGACTGCAAGTTCCTAGATGACTTAGCAAAACTGTCTCAAAGCACAGAGTGTAGCTCAGTGTAAAGTCCTGGATTTCAATAACCAGTGCTACCATACCACCAAAAAATATATATATATCTATATATCATCACATCACAACGACCACTCTACACTTCATCCAGGGCTGGGCAGAGCCAGCCTGAGGGTCAAGTTCCAGGTCTGCCCTGGGTCTGAGGCAGGTATGGAGCTGGTAATATCAAGCCCTCAGCACTGCCTGGAGACTGGCAGAGCCCTCACTTGATGTTGCATTCCAACAGATCTTTAGATGAGCTTCCTGTATTTGCTCGAATAAAATCCACTCTCTAAATGTTCTGCCAATATGTATAAATGCTGTGCTCTCAGCGAAGCCAGTGATCTGAGCTTAGACGAGCCGTCTGGGTGTGGCAATTCAGGAGGACACCTATCTAGCTGGCCCCAGCTATGCTATCCCTGTGTGTGACTGGATAAAGGGCTATCTTCCTCCCACTGTGGGTACAGGGGCTATACCCCCAACCTGCCCTGACACACAGCCAGCCTGAACTTCTGGGGAAGGCAGGGCCTGGATGGCTGGGATGGGGTAAAAAGGTCCTTTAGTCCCACCAGTTTGTTTCCTCCTGGGGAAAGTAAGGCAGCTGACAAAACCTGCCTGGGGCCCATTAAAGCTCTGCCATTCTAGGAGTCAGACTAATTCGGGGAAATTAAAGTAAGGTCCATCCTGCTGTCAGTGAGACTTCAGACCTGAGCTCTAGGGTGACTGACAGGGTCCTTGTCTGAGCAGAGCCAGGCTGGCAAGCTTGGGTTCCCCGCAGCTGGGCCTTGTCCCCAGGTTCTCTCTGATGTTTCTGACTCCTCACTGGCACCAAGTTCCCTCCTCCAAGCACCCTGCCCTGCCCCTCCAGGGCAAAATGTTACCAAAGCTCCCCAGGAAGGTTAAGAGAAAGCCTTACCTGAAATGTCAGTGACCTTAATAGCTGTAGCACGAGGAAAGTTTTCTCTGAGAACCTGAGTCACTTTGAGCTCCCCCTCTGTCTGGGAGATGAACATCCGGTGGACACAGTAGAGGAGAGGAAGCTGCCACAGAACAGAGAAGAGGGCCATGGCAGGGCAAGGTGCCACTCCCCCCAGGGCTGGCAACTGTGCAGGCCTCAAGGGCCAGGGATTTAGCTCAGTGGTTCCACCCCCAGCCTCGAAAGTGCAAGATCCCAAGTTCAATCCCTGGTACCAAAAAAACAAAACAAAACTGTGCAGGCCCCAACAGCCATTCCATGGGAACAGCTGCAGACTGTCAGAGGGGGAATGTGGTGTTGCATGGCCATTCCCCAGGACACGGAATAGATTTTTGTTTTGTTTTTTGAGGAGAGTGGGGGGATAACTGCAAACAACATTGACTCTAGAGACAAACCCAAAGACCTTATTCAACAGACATTTAACTCCTTATGACACGTGATGCCAGCTTTATAGGCAAAGAAATGGAAGCACTTAGTAATACGCCCAAGACTGTACCCACTAGTAAGATGCAGAGCCGGGAGAAGGGCCAGGCAGCTCCTCAGACCCACCCTGCTAGTCACTATAGCACTGATGGTCCACTATCTTTTGTGGTGAAGCCAAGTTCCACCCATTCTTGCAGCCTGATTAACAGGCATCCCATCCCAGTGAAATGTGCCCTCACCACCACTGCCAGCTGCCCTCTACACAACATGCACCAACTCAATGGACAGAAGAGGCAGAGTCCTATTAAATGACCCAAAGAAGGATCATTTTAAGATTATTTACCATAAGCAACAATATTCCCTCCCTGGATGGCCACCATAGGAAGGCAGACCTTCAACTGGAGCATGTCTCTACCCTTAGAAGGGAAGGAACAAAAAATCAGGGACAAACACCTGGCTGGACTGAGCACATGCTCAACAGAGGGACTGAAACTACAGTATGGCAGGACTTGAATGCCACACTACAGGTTTTGGACTTATTAGGCAATGTGACCCCAAATGAGGTGGCCTAAGCTTTTAGCAGTGAAGCAAGTTGCAGGCAACAGTACCTTGAGCAGCAGGTCAGGAGCAACCAAGTGAAAGGCATTAGGAAGGGAGGAGCACCCGAGGCTAGTTTCCACCTGGCCATGGGGGACAGGCGGCAGAACATCAGGGCTGTTAGCAAGTACTGGTGCTGAACGTGCCACCCTGTCACCTCTCAGCCCTGCCTGTCCTCAGGCCTTTCCTGAGCCCCAGAACAGGGTACTGTTACAGAATCTCAGAGCTATCACTGCTCAGCCTTTTAGCTAAGATCAAGTGCAGAATCTCAGAGCTATGCACAGGCTCTCTCACCAACTCGTCTTAAAGGCCAAGACTGAGCCATCCAGGGCTGACCCTGTACAGGGCCTCCAGGGCACGTGGCGTGGGTGAATGGACGGTCGAATGAGCAGGTAAGGGGCATGCCCCTGGCTCAAGGCAACGAAGTCTGGCGAGTAGGCAGAATACCGGTGAGGAGAAAAGTCTGGGGTTAAAGGTCTCTGCTGTATAGAGGGCCAGAAACTTCATGCTGTGAGCCCAGGTGGGGTCGCAGCGGTAAGGAATGGGAGGGGGCAGTGCTGCTTCTGGGGATAGAACCTGGGTGGGAGTGGTAGGTAACCAGACGGCAGGCAGGATGGGCAATCAATAAGGGCTGCAGAATCCGTGGGAGCCTTTTTATCATCTTAGCTAACCTGTGGGCAGCACCTGTGACAGGCCAGTGAGTCCCCAGATGACCGCTGCCCACGCTGAGGGTAGCGGACGAACGCCTAAACTCGCGGGGGCGGGGTGGGTTCAAGACCACAGAAAAGCGAGAGGGAAGAGGAAAGCGGATGAAATGAAGGATGAGGCAGAGGGGAAGGATTAGGGGAGCTCGTGGGCAGTGCCCTCTGGCAGGCTTCTGCTCCCGGCGTTGGATGGTCAAGGTCAGGGGCGCCGCCGAAGTTCCCAGGGCCTGGAACCCTCCGCAGTTACCTGGACCCACTCCTGGACTCCGGACTGTAAGTCCTATGTCTCCCCGCTCCAAAACCCAACATTTCTCTCTCCCGTGCTAGCTGTGGTTTGTGCGCCAGACTCGCCCCCCACTTCCAGCCACGCCGATAGCCCCAGAGCGCGCTAGGGCCGGAAGCTCCCTGTACGCCCGCAGAGGGAGGGAGTGAGGAAGGCGGCGGGGGTCCGGCCCGCCTGCCCCGCCCGCGGCTCGCCCCTCGTCCCCGCAGGCCATGGGGAGGTCGGCCCCGCCCCTGCCCGCTCACCCTGTGGCTCAGGCGGAGCAGAGGAGTCCCCGCAGCGGGGCTCCACGCCGCCATACCCGGCCGACGCGGCCCACCGCCGGAGGTCGCGGTGCCTCACGAAAGGCGCGGGGCCGAGGACGGAATTTGCCGCCTGGGGCGAGGCCGCCCCCTGCCGCCCGGAGGCCGCCGACCCGCCCAGCCCGGCGCCGCCCTGCCCCGGGGACGCCCCGCTCCGGAACTAGCAGGAACCCCGGGCCTCAGGGTCGCCTTCCGCCCTCGCCCAGCTCCTCCAGCCTCGGGGCCTGATTCCACCGCATGGTCCTCCAGCCCGAAGCTGCTCGGTTCTGGGCGCGCATCTCACTTGCCCCACTCGAGGGCCCCTAGCATTCCTGGGACCCGCTCTCTCCCTGCACCCCATCCCGCGCCCCGAGCCTGAGGGCGTGGGTTTCCTCCCAGGTAGGGGAACTTGAGGAGGGATTTAAGCAGAGGAGGGGTTTTCAGATTTGCGTTGTAGAAAGATCATCCTGGCTTCTGTAACGGGACTGTGAGAGAAGGAAAAGAACTGTGAGGGCCAGAAGTGGAGACAAGGACACGGTCCCTAGACTAATGGAATCTCCAGGTGAGAATTGAGGGACCTGAAATGACCCAGCTGCAGAAAGGATGAGGGAGGGGTCTACCACCGGGAGGTGACTGGAATAGAGGGACTGCATATGGGACATGAGGAAGGCAGGAGGTGATTCCCAAATTTTAGTCTTGGACTGTGAAAGGGATGGCTGGGTGAGGGAGCCAACACAACTGTTTTGGACATGCCTGAGTTTACGGTCCTGCCAGACACCACTTAGTAGAGAACTAGGTTGGAGCCGCTAACTGGGGACTCTTAAGATTGTAGCGCATGCAACCTGAAGCCATGAGAAATGGTTGTCAGCAAACCAGCCCTCCTCTGAATGTGGGACTGCATAACTCTGTAATCATAAAATTCCCCTAGCCCCAACTGTGATTGAATGTGAGTAAATAGATAAAGATGGGACACTAGATAAGATCTGTATCAGCCATAAGGTCCCAAAGTAAATTACTCAACTCTTTGTTTGAAAACTGATGTTCGGACACCGCTATCTATAGAACAATCTACAAACATCTGCTGACCATCAGTAAGTGTCAGCTGACCACTAACCTTTGTTCCTCTTCTGTAAATTTCACCTGTTAACTTCCCCTGCAACTCCCTATAAAAGAGCCTCGGACTCTGGGCTAGTCACCTCTCTAAGCTACTTTGCTTTGGGAGTGCCGTCTGGCCAGACTAAGGTCTGTTTTACTTTCCAACTTGTCCGTTGTGTTCCTTCCCGGGTGTTCTTCGCTGCAGTCAGCTCCTCGGAGCGTTTGGTAAGGCCCTCGGTCTTACATTTTGGAGGCACCGCTGGGATCCCCGGGTGTGCTTCACTGCAGTCAGCTCCTCGGAGCGTTTGGTAAGGCCCTCGGTCTTACGTGAAATACTCAAGTCAAGGCTGAAATGGAGCCAAGCCCTTTCTAGCTGTATTTGTTTGCAGCTTGTAGCCTAGTACTACCCCTCAGCACTTTTCTGCTTTTTGTTGTTGTACGCTGTCCTATGCAATCAGTAAATCCAGCGTTGCACCTGGATAGACTGGACCTGCATTTATTGTTTCCAGTGATTGACTAAAAATACACATTCGTTCCAATACTGTGACTCCTCTGCACCAGGTTTCATCATTTCTCCCTTGCATTACTGTTAATACATTTGCACCTTGATTCCTTCAAAGTTATTATTAGTATGATAATTTGTTAACTTTTAAATTTTTGACACAAAACTTAAAAAAAGCTTTTCCAGCAGTGTAGTGGTTAATCACCCATTGTTACTCAAATTATGATTGAGATAAGGCAGGCCCATCCCCAACTCTGAGCAGACATATGACCTAGTCTGGCTAACTAGATGGAAATTGGTTTAGAGATCTCATAATGATTTGAGCCAAAACCAATCAGAGCTGGTGCAGGGACTCTGAACTTAAGAAATCTTTTTCAACTGTGTTGCTAAGCTAGTAGAAGGCCTGGAGCTGCTGGCAATTATCTTTGCAACCATGTGGACAAAGCTGCTTTGGAAATGAAGCAGATAGAGAAGAAAGCAGACCCTAAGAGGAGACATGTTTGACTACTTGTGCAACTGGAAGTTGCATCCAGTTCAGGTGAGTTTGTCACTTGTATAAGTGGCTCAGGTTAAGCTCACAGATTTGTATTTATGGAATTCCTATTCTTTATTGAAAGTGGTATGTTTGCATGCACCAACCTTCTTCTTCCCCTATAATTTAACAGTTGCACACATAATTCTGACTTTGAATTATTGGTTCTCTGCCTTGCCATGCTCTCCTTACCCTTAATATTCCACATGGCTGTCAAAGCCATCTGAAATGAAAACATTTACTACCTAAAATCCTTCAGATTTTTCATCACCTACCGAAAATAACACAACTTCAGCTGAAATTTAACCTTCAGGAATACTGGAACCTTCCTGCTCATGCTACACTGTAATGTTGGCTATACAACTGCCCATCTTCTAAGTCAGTTCAGCCTTGTTTCTCCAGAGCCACCTGATATAAGTGCAGACTCTGAAATGTCTACATCATTTGTTTTTTGTTTTGTTTTTTTTTGGTACTGGGGATCGAACTCTGGTCCTTGGGCTTGGGCAGGCGGCGGAACCACTGAGCTAAATCCCCATCCCCATCATTTGTAGTGTACTTACTGCCCTTTAGAATTATCTATGTATGTGCTGGTTCCCACTGGTGTGTAGGCCACATGAGGTCAGGACTTTGCTTGTTACATCTTTGTCAACGGCACAGGATGGCATGGGACAAAAAGTGCGTGCATGATTACTGAACAGAGCGACTGGCACCACAGGTCTGAACTGAATTTGAATCTTTAAAACAATAATATTCAGGTCAATCTCACCAATCTTGGCCTTCCAAATTAATCCTAATATAACAGTTTAGGTATAATTTTTTATGGCAGAAACAAAAGGTTTTACTTTGTAACAATTAAAAGGACATGAGCTAATTCTTCCTACATTTTATTTCTATGAACTGAGATTCTTTTATCTTCACTTACATTGGCCCATGATGACTCCTACTCTTTATAAAGATATTTACATTTGCACTCGCAGAAAATTCCTTAGGTAGGGTCTCTTTGGATGAAGCTCCTTTTTCCTCACTAGGATGATTTTTTAATTGGCAGTCATTTTTTTATAGAGCCTCCTAGTGCTCTGGAGTATAATTTTTTGCAAATGCTATCTAGAGAAGCTTACTATGTACTAGCTATTTGAACTTGTCTGAGCTTTTGTGAGAAACTGCAAAACCAGCCAGCTCTCAATTACTACTTCTCCAGACTGCTGTAAGGATTGAATGAGATAATCTACCACAGGGCTCACCTAAAACAGGCTGATTTCCTCTAAGGAAGTGATACTTGAAGTGCTAGTTGGACATAAGGTGCCTGGCTTGAATCTAAACAAATAAGCTACTCCCTTAGCAAGTCACTACAAAAACATCAACTGAGCTAAGCAGTTACTTAACATTAGTTACTTATACTCGGATGAAAACTCTTTTTTTTCTCCCCCACAGAACAGAAGAAAAAGTTCAGAGTAGCAGCCAGAACATGCTTCTGGACCACCTACCATCTTTCAAACACTTTTATTATAAGTTCCACAGCCCCAAATAAAACCCCTCCTGCAGCCAGAGCAGAGGTATGTGCCTCTGCCAATAAGAGGCATCCATCCAAGGAAGCTGTGGTAGCTGCTGGGAACCCAAAGGCCACGAAAATGGTGGTTACCAGGGCTGCTCGTTCTCGGGCCAGAATGTAAGTCATGTCAGCTGCCAGCAGAAGAGTTCTGCTGCTGAAGGAATTCAGGCACATCCAGAAAGCAAGAAGGAATCTGGACCAGATAACCAAAGTACAGCTGAATCACAGACTGCTGGGAAACAGGGTTCAATCTCTAGAACTCCTAAAACAGAAAAGAGGAAGAACAGGACTACAGGCTCATTAGCAGAGATAACTGAACCATCTACTGATGAGAGTTCTCTGATGCAGGGTCAAATTGTGCTGAGATGCAGGAGCCTATTCTAAGAATAACTAGGAGAAGGTAGATCATAATTGCACCTACTCCAGTGTCCAGTGTAAGAAAAAAGCAGAAAATAATTCCACTAAATGAGTCTGTTGCTGAAGAAGTTGTCTCTGAAGCAGAATCTCATGTTTCAGGTATTTCTAGAATTGTGCCTTCCCCAGAAATGACAAGAACCAGAAGTAAGGCTAAAGCTCTTAACATGTCAAAGCCAAGGATCACATGCCGAAGCCATATCTGATGCTGAATCATCATGCTCTGACATTTCATTCCCTGAAATTACACATAAGAGAACAACCAAGATTATGCCAAGGAAATCACAGGCACAAACTGAGAATAAATATACTAAGATTGTACCAGAAAATGAAAAGCAAATCATGGATATCTCTATGAAGTCAGAGGATTCTGATACCAGACAGACCTCTCAGAGTTTGGATGAAGAGGAAAACAGTAACAGATGAGGGAAAGGAAAATGATTAAAGTTCTCAGTTGAAATGTCTTTCTAAACTTAAGGACCCTAGCCTTCAGTTAGTTTCTCAAAATCATTCCACCCCTCAAAATAATAAAACCACATCAGAGCCCTCAAATATGAACTGTGAAGCTGTAATGAAATCATTAGCTCAAACATTTGCAATTGTAGACGTGAACAGATAGAATGAAGAGAGAAAAAGTACCATAAAAATAAGTGACTTGACAAAGTTCAGTGGTCATCGTGGTAATGATGAAGAGTCCACAAATAAAGTTGTCAAGACAACAAGAGTGAAAGGAGTGTAGTATAGATCTTGAATGTGATACCAGACTAAACAAATCTGAGCTCAGCCAGTCTCAGGATATGGATGATTCTGTCTTACTAGTTCTCAGCAGTGATGAGAGCCAGCGATCTGAAAGCAGTGAAAGTGAAGATGACACTGTGTTTTTTTGAAAATAGTGGTCAAAAGGAATCATTAAATGGAAACTCAGAAAATACATCTCAGGACAATGCATTCTTTGTAATTGACACAACTCCTGGATTGAATGTTGATAAAAATTTTTACTCAGAAGATAAGGCAAGTAAGGTTTTCACTGAGGAAGAAAAAGGAAGATGAAAATAATGAAGAACCATCAGACAGTGACAGAAATAAAGATGAGTATAGTGATGAAGATGACTTACCAAATAACACAAAGTCTAAACTTCTGAAGCTGACAAGTAGCAGTACAGACCCTGGTCTGAGTATCAAGCAGTTGGGTGGTGTGTACATTAATTTCAATGCAGAAAAACTTCAGTCTAAGAAGAAAACTCTTAACACAGATCAAGGAGAAAAAGAAAAATGAGCTTCTATAGAAAGCTATTATTACATCTGATTTTGAAAAAAACTATTGTGTCCCACCGTATAGTGAATCAAAGCGTCGACTTCAGAAAAACACAGCAAAGAGCAACAAAAACCTGCAGGTGATGGTTGGTTTGGTGTGAAAGTTCCAGAATTGACTGATGAACTTAAAAATGATCTCAAAGCTCTGAAGATGAGAGCAAGCATGGACCTAAAAAGATTTTCCAAAAAAAATAACCGAGATAGCTTCCCTAAGTACTTCCAGATTGGAACTGTTGTTGACAATCCAGCTGATTTCTATCATTCATGAATTCCCAAGAAGCAAAGGAAAAGGACCATTGTGGAAGAACTGCTGGCTGATTCTGAGTTCAGAAGATTTAACTGAAGTACTCAGAGATCATGGCTGAAAAAGCTGCAAATGCAGGAAAAAGTTCAGAAAGAAGAAATTTTGCAATTAATATTCACCAAGCAAATCCCATTATTTTACATCTTCCCTTTATTTATTTGTAAAAGAGGTTTAGAAGGAAATAAAATTGACAGGGTCTCAATTCCATGCCCCTTGGAATAAAAATAAGCAAAAGACCTGTTCTGGCTTAGACTGTTTAAGGGGAAAAGAACATCAACCATTTTATGATAATTACCATTTTTATTAGGTTTTCAGTGGTTGGTTATTTAAGGAAAATTTAATTAAAAGGTATAGCATTTGCTAATATGTTCAAAGAACATCTTTTAATGATTGTGTAAATAATACCTTAGTTACTGTGTAATTTTACATATATGTATGTATGTATGTATGTGTGTATGTACAGGGGAGTTGGCAGACAGGCCATGCCCTATAACTAGCTGCAAATTCAGATCCCGCAACAGGAGGAAAATTGATCTTAACCTATAGTCACTGTTTTATTTCAAGCAAAACAGGATTGAAAAATAGCATTTTAATTTGGCCAGACGGTAAAGTGGCTCACTTTATCTCCTCTCCAGTAGCACAAGTATGTATTCTGGCTAAGTTGCTTTCTGCCACCAAGGACAGTTGGGTCATTTATGTAATGCTTCTCAGTGAGTTGCAGCCTCCTTTATATCATTGTTTATCTTTATTTTCCTAGCATACTATTTTAGATTTTAGTGAACATAAAATCCCATATTTTACTTTTACTGTTTGGGGTCACAAGCAACCTAGTAAACACTGGAGATAACAATAACTTTCACTGTTGAAGTTAGGGAAGCATTTATATGTGTTCTCTTTTATAGAAAAACTT